TGAGGGTGGTCGTTTGCTGCAAAACTCACTCGTTTCTGATTTTTCGGTAAACTTGAGTATTTCTCACGCCCAACTGTAGGGAATTCTAGGTGAAAATGAAGTGGCTCTCTAAATCGCTACACAGCTTCACTGCCATATCTTTACTTTCACTGTCTTTTTAAGGGGTTTACCCATCCAATAGCTTGCTCATATGCTAAACTTCTTGGTCCGTGTTTCAAGTTGGGTCGGATAGGTGGGGAGAGGAAACCGCTTTTCCATTTGTTGTACATTATAGGCCGAACAAAAATTTTTACCATAAACTGGTGTTTTTCCAGGAAGTACCACACAAACAAGTTGAAGTGCTGCAAATGTTGTTTTGAGGTATTTGAACATTGGTTCCACTTGATCAACACCAACTGCATATTTGCAAAAACATGGCTGTCCAATAATCGGCATACCCGCATCGTTTGAGATTCGTTGTAATTGAGTGGTAAAATTCCTGAAATTATTGAAATTTTTTTCAAAAACACTTCTAAAGTGTAGCTCATCTAAAAAAAAATGTAAAAGTGATCGTTTTCTATGAAAAAACGAAAATTTTAAAACAAATCCATCGCATGTTTTATCCAAAAAAATGTAAAAACGATTGTTTTCTATGAAAAAATGAATGTTCTGCTATAACTAACCGGAGATCATTTTCTTTGACATGTTGCTGTTGTGCAAAACAAGCGATTGCCCAAACTTTCACTTCGACACCTGTATGGAATTGCTTGCCACGCATATCCCAGACACCCTGATTCGGGAGAGCAGTCGCTTTTGTTCGACCTCCGTACAGCAATTTGGGCGCCGTTAGCACACGACCTTTGACCTTCAAAATATTAAAAAATTTATACGAAAACAATCCCTATGTTTACTGCTAACTGGAAATTTGCATTTTTTTGAAAAAAACACAAATTTAGACAGTGTCCAGTAAAAAAAAATACCTCAGTCATTGCCGAATTTATTGCAATTCCAAATTCATGCGCAAATGGATCAGCATTGAATTCGGCTCGGCGAACAAGATTTGATATTTCACGTTCACGTTCCGGTGCTGAACGCGCTGTGGCCTGAAACTTCCTCCACATATAATCTGCTAAAAACTGGCATTCTGCCAAGGAATTTGCGCGTTTCAAGACGGTATAACAACGGAAAATTTATACAGAAAAAAAGAGGTACCTCTATTATTGTACTAAAAAAAACAGGTACCTTTATCATTGTACTGGTCTGAGTATCAGTAAGTTTTTTGATGCAACGCTGGCCGGCAACAATATTGCAAACTTCTGGCGGTAAATAAGTATGCTTCTGTTCCTGGCCAACTTGCAAACATGGCAAATGTGGATATTTCAGTTGCATACGATATTTATCAAAGAAATACTTCGCTACGGTGCATTCAATTGTCTGTCCCGTATCAAGTTGCAGCGGGAAGCTGAAAAAAAACAGGACAGGATTCTCGCTCTAGCCTTCTCCCTTACACTGTTTCTTTCGTCCTGAATTCTTTCGCACCTTCTTTACCATCTGCACTTTCAGGGTCAACCTAGATGCTGCAATCTGCTTAGAAAAGTGAAACGTTTCCGGGATAGCATCCCCACAAAAAACATGGAAAAAATTTGCAAAACCGGCACAAAATGAGCTTAACGAGATATGGCAAAAAACTCAAGACTGCGTCAAATGCGCAGGAAAATGTGTATGTACCCATACGCGAAATATAACCCCTCCACCTCTTAC